ATATTACTTACTTAAAAAAAGTACGAGATAAACTCGTTTTTTATATCTTTACGTATGCTAAGGGTAATAAATTAAAATCCTTCAATACAAGACTAAAGGTAGGTACCTATAATTTGAATAAGCTGGTTTTGCCCATACTGACTTTCTAATTCTAATTACCTACTAATTTGCATAACAGTCAGGGTCATAATGCTGTTTTAATATTAGGATTTTCATTTCGCTTGTTGAAACTTCATCCGATATTAATTTCTTGGAAATTTTTATAAGGCTGAGAGTACTTAATCGGAATACTCGAGTATTGTTGAAAAAAACTGAAATTGAAGGTACTACACAATCGAAAAACTCAAAAAAATCAACATTTCCGGTATTCTTTTTCCAGATCGTATTTTGTTTTCGAGATATATTTAAATTTGGGAATTTTTTATTATTTTTCCACTTTTTTCAGGTTCTTTTTTAATTTAATTTCAGTATATAAAAGCCTTTACAATATTATCCAAATTTTATTTGGAAGTTAATCTTAAGCGTTCAGAAACAATTTGCTATTTAGGAAATGAAAATTTGTTTTTTTTCCTTAGTTCTTAATTTGCTATAACATTTCTCATTTGATTTAATAAAAAATATTGTAAATTCATTTTTTTGAATAATTATAACAACGACTTACATCCGAGTAGCTTAACACAATTAAAGAAAATATAACGAATACGCTCACGACTCGGAACTGAGTCTTTTCTTCTTTTCGCATAAAATATTACAAATTTATTTAAAATACCCTTTATTTAATATATACTTTATTTATTCATCACAATTTAAAAAAAAAATACTAGTCAGCACAGCGGCGGTTGATTTCCATGAAAATACGCTAAGCAGTGATAATGATTGCATGTGCCTAAGTTAATATTTTTGTCTTTTGGTTGGTGTTATATTGGAAATTTCCCCTCTCAAGGCATTTGCAAGAAAATTGCACTTTCATGTAAAAAACGAGTTATTTATTTCGTACTTTTTTTAAGCAAGGCGCAATATTTAATTACTTAATATTAATATTAATATTAAAAAATAGTATTAAAAGCTTTAATAATATTACCAATATTAAAAACTTTAATATATTATACATTATAATATTAATATGAATGAGTAGAAACGATTACATTTAAATTTGGCAAATTGTCTCCAGCCGACTATACGAACTTACAAGTACGATTGCGCGAAGCCGTGGAATTTGTATACCAAATTCTCGGTCTGTAGATCCTTGTTAGGTTACACGCCACACTCTTCAAGAAACTCTCGTCGCGGACGGAAGCAAGCAGATCCCCATCGCTGTGCATCTCATTTTACCCTTAGACCTTATCCTCGAAGCGGGACCCAACCAAAGACAAAAGGTAAGTGAATCTCATATAGAGTTGACAATAAGTTATTAAATTTGCCAATTGTTATTTGAATTGCAACATTTTATTTTACACATATTTGTTACAAATATTTGCTATTTTTCGCTACTTTTATTTACAGTCAAAGTATTGCATTTTTTTTCTTCATTAGTATTTATCAAATATTAACCAGCGACCTCTTAAGTTTAATCCTAAACAGAGAGTACTGAGAAGAATTACAGGAAATACGCTGAGAGATGGAAAGAGAAGTGAAGACGTAAAATAACGTAAATAAGAAAATGTAACGTACAATGTATAAATTAATGGACACAAAATAGAAAAAAAAATGGAAAAACCACATAAGCAGAATGGAGGAGACGCGTGTCGTCAAAATAGCAAGAGATAAGTCACTAATCGTCAAAATAAGTATCGGATGACCGCGCAAAAAATGGAGTGACAACCTTCCATAGAAGTATTAATCCGCCAATGAACAAGCAGAATTGCTTATAAAGAGGAAGAAGAAGATGTTGGGACTTTAGTAAAGTTATAAGACTTACGTTCCCTTTTCTTTATTACTTTTATTCCTGTACTTATTTTTGCCATTGGATTGTTATCGATATTCACAATTCAATCCAATGATATTTTATTCAATGTCTTTTAAGTAATATTTGGCTGATTAACACTCAATTCGGTTACGTATTATTCTGCAAGGGGCATGAAGTGGCGAAGTTTATTTATAAAATTTTCTGGAAAGTCATTTAGACAAAGTGTTAGCTATAATTATGTCATATTGTTAACATAATTCTAGTCGTCTTTCACCTCTTTCACTGCGTTCACTCTATCTATATTCACCTAATAAAAATCTTCCTATGTTCAGCTTCGCGTCAACGTCGTCCAAAAATAAAGTTATATCTTCCTTTTTTGTGAGTCTCATAAGATGATCTATTAATATCTCCATACCATTCTTCGACCTCCTTCGTTATTGCATTGTCTGTACATATCGTCATAATGATGATGTTGGTTAGAGAGATTGGTTAGAGATAATTTTATTCGTACTAGCATAAATATGGTTGACACTTAGTGGTTGACCGATGTAGTGGTTTAAATTATTATTAAATTATTTATTTTATTATTATATATATATTATTATTATATATTTATAATTATTTATTATTATTTATTATTATTAATTATTAAATTATTACCCGAATAGTAGAAGGTCTTATTCACGCTGTTTCATTTTCGTTGTTGGTCATCTTACTTCGCCCACGTTCAAGATTTATAAAAACATCCTATTCGGCTCGTGGTATACACATTTGCAAAGTTGCATGGAAGAACGAAGAAAACATAAAGCAAAAGACCTGAATAAATACAAAGAAATTCAGAGAAACATCAGAATGAAAATTGAGGCAAAAGAGAGGTGGCTCTTCGACAGATGCAAGGAAATAGAAGATCTGGATAAAAAGTACGATAGCTTTAATTTACACACAAAAATCGAATATCCTTAAAATGATAAAGGGGATGTTATCACTGATATGAAGGAGAGATTATGTCACTGGACCAATTACATTCAACAACTATTTAATGATGAAAGAGAAGAACTGTCATTAGAAATAACCGAGGATACCAGACCACCAATATTAAGAGAAGAAGTCATCTATGCCATCAAAAACACAAAAGAGGGTAAAACTACTGGACCAGATGAGATGTCCATCGAATTATTAAAACTCATCGATGAAGATTTTATTGATGTAATGGTTGAACTCTTTAATCTAATATATCAGACTGCCACAATCCCCTGACAATGGCTGCAATCAACCTTTGTAGCAATTCCCAAAAAACCAAGTTTAACAACTTGCTCAGACCACAGAACAATAGCTTTAATGAGCCACACACTTAAAACATTTTTGAAAATAATTCACAACAGAACGTGTTAAAACTCTTGAATATGAGATTAGTGACACACAATTTGGCTTTAGCAATGGTATGAATACAAGAGATGCTTTGTTCGGCTTGAATGTGCTGGCTCAGAGATGCATGGACATGAATCAGGATATGTACTTATGTTTTGTAGACTTTGAAAAGGCATTTGATAAAGTTCAACAGAAAAAGTTTGTAGATATATTAAAAAGCAAAAATATTGACAGTCGTGATCTGAAAATTATATCTAATTTATATTGGAATCAAACTGCCAAGGTAAGAGTTGACAGCCAGTACACCGAAAATATCAAAATACAGAGAGGAGTCCGCCAGGGTTGCGTGCTGTCCCCACTACTTTTCAATGTCTACAGTGAAGCGGTATTTCAAGAAGCGCTCTCAGACTCAATAGAAGGTATATCTATCAATGGAGAAATTTTGAATAACTTACGTTTTGCAGACGATACAGTAATAATTACGGATAACAACAATGATTTACAGAACGTAATGCAACGCCTTAATGAACGCTGTCATGAGTACGGACTGAAGATAAATTTAAAGAAAACTAAATGCATGATCATGACTAAATCTGCACATGCCAATATCCAATTGACTATTGAAGATACTGCAATTGAGAGTGTTAATAACTATAAATACTTAGGAACATGGATAACATCAGATGTAGACCAAACCAAAGAAATTAAGACACGTATTGAAATAGCACGTACATCATTTATTAAACTTAAAAAGTTTCTTTGTTTTCGGGATATAAGGTTAGAACTACGCCTGAGAATGCTTCGATGTTACGTGTTCTCTATTCTTCTTTATGGTTTGGAAGCTTGGACACTAAAAGAAGTTCATCTGAATAAGTTGGCCGCCTTTGAATTTTGATGTTACAGAAGAATCCTACGAATATCATGGATTCAAAGAATGTCAAACATGGAAATAACTAGAAGGATAGGAAATGAGGCGGAAATAATATTAACTATTAAAAGACGAAAACTTGAGTACTTGGGACATGTGATGAGAGGGCAAAAATAAGCATTATTACAACTTATTATGCAAGGCAAAATCCGCGGAAAGCGAAATGTGGGAAGACGAAGAATATCCTGGCTTAAGAACTTAAGGGAATGGTTTGAATGCAGTAGTGCAGAACTTTTTAGAGCGGCAGTCAACAGAGTCCGTATAGCCATGATGATTTCCAACCTTCGATAGAAGATGGAACTTAAAGAAAAAAAATTCCTTTTGGGAATTATTTGCAGCGACTGACCTTCTAAGTATTGCCTGGGACTGGAAGACCATTGAGTAAGGAGTGGCTTATATTCTTTTTATATTACTTAAACTTTTAAAGGATCGACTGTCGAGTCATCAAAATTTTCTTTATTCTGTGGTGAAATATATACAAAAAAAAGTTCAATTCCTATATGTATTCGTTTTTATGTAATGTTCACATATGTTGTTCTACATTTGCCAAATTTACCTGCTCAGGTAATTTAAGGTGATTATTGTTATACATACCAGTGTATATTACCTATATCCCCATCTAAATTTGTTCTTATTTGAGAGGTACAATTTTAACGGAAGTTCTGTTTGTAAGTACGTTAGTAATTACGTAAAATCACTTCGTTATCTACATTTTAATACACATATTCCAGTACAACCCTGATAAAACATAACCAATAAAAATAAAACAAATTTTATTTTATCTCTCCGTCAAGAGGAAAGAAAATTAAATATGGTATAAACACAAACAGTATTAATCTTTGATAAGTGGATCGGTATTTTGTAATTTTATATTTTTTTAATATAATAATATTTAAACTAAGGTTTTTTGAAATGAGTGCGTGTCATAAGATTTTGAGAAAGTCTAAATTATTTTCTCAAACTAACACATTTATCAAGCGGCATGTAAGTGCCAAAGCTTTTATTTTCGAAAAACAGTTTGATGGTTTTCCGAAAGAAAGTGATTTTAAACTTGTAACTAAAGAATTGCCGGCGCTCAAGGATGGGGGTAAGTTTGCCATATTTATGTGTTAACCATTGTATTAACCACTATTATATTTGTATTAATTTACCATTTTTAATAGACTAGACAATGATAGACTGGTTTTATTTTTATTTGTGTTTGGTCCAATGACGTATACGTATGGGTTTGGTAAGATATATTTGGAGTGACTAGTCATCAAACTATCGGAGTTATTCATCATTATTTTCATCTCCCAAAATTTCAAGAACTCATGTCTAGGTTATAGGTAAATGTTTCCTCAAGATATTTTCTATTCTCATGCTCTAATGCTTTACACATCTAGTTTATTCCGCCAGCTTTGATTATTTAATTTTTCCATCTTACTCTTTTTTCTTTTTTTTTGTCCGTTTTTAGTATCTAGATAGTAGGTACTTTTTGCTCCATTGCGGCTCGAGTCCTCAGTATGCGGGTAGGAAACACATATACTTTTAGATATATATATATATATATATATATATATATATATATATATATATATATATATATATATATATATATATATATATATTGTAAAAACTACGACCGTCAATTTATATTAATAAAGTATTCAACTAGTGAAATCCAGAGGTTTATTCGGTCAGTCAGGTTGGCAAAATAAAAAACAGAAGTCAACTACTTCATAAGTTTATAGAAGACGTTTCGCTTTATACTTCCAAAGCTTCATCAGTTCTAACTCAATATGTAATATTAAAGATGTTATTGTATATAATAATTATAATTAAACAGAAACATGCAAAAAATAATATTCTCAGAAACGAAGATTTACAAAAACTTTAAACGTACATTTGGCTTCATTTAGAGATGGTTCTCCAATGAAGACATATTCAAGACAAAAGGGAACGTATTCAAGTTCTGATTCTATTTTCCCGCCTATAGTTATAACTGTTCCGCCTGCCAACCAAGCTAGTCCATAATATTAATGTATACAATCCTGATGATAAAGTGATTGGAATGTCTGGACATGACGAGGTTTTCGAAATTTTAACGGACACCAACGCAGCCAACACAAGTGAAGAAATATCAAAAGAAGCAACGAAAAAATAACGATATAAAATTTCTGAGTCAAGTGAAAAATTAGAGTTGAATATCTATGAAAATGCTATCGATGAAGAAAATGTAAGAGGTGTAGAACATAGAGACGTTTTTGAAATTTTAACGGACACCAACGCAGCCAGCATAAGTGAAGAAATATCACAAGAATCACCGAATAAAGCACAACACAAAATTTCAAAATCAAATCAAGAATTAGATTTGAACATCAACGAAAATACTACCAATAAAGAACATGCAAGAAGTGTATCCAGTGATTTTGAAGGCACACAAATGGGTAAAATTAGAAAGAGGAAACGGGAGAGGCAATCTTGGAAAAGAGAAGCAAACAAAAGACTACGAGAGAGCGGTAAAGTGTATCTTGGTTTTCAAAAAGATCCTGAAACAAAAGTATACAAACAAATTGATCCGAAACCTGATAAAACAATGGGATTACGCTGTGATTCAAATCAGTGTAAGAAAAGTAAATTACGTGCTTGTTCCAACATTTTAGAAGATACTAGAGAAGAAATATTTAACAAATTTTTGAAAATGACATGGGAACAACGGAAAATTTTTGTGGCTAATTTTGTGGCTAATTATTTCGTTTAAAATCTTTTTAATATCTACTTTAGTTATAAATAAAACTTAATTTCGAAATAGCTTTTCAATTCAATAAAACATTCTGCATTATCATTTGGTAGCAATTCCTAGTAACCAAAATAATTTTGAAAATAAAAAAAATATGTATTTTCCAATATTATAATAATATCTTAATACTAAATCAATAATTATTTATTTAGGTTTAACGATTTTCGCACGCAGAGAATGTTTTTTTATTCTCCTGTAAAAAAACTTATTTGTGAATTACGAGCTTTTGCATCTTAAGCGACGAATAATTTATTATTGTAAATTTGAACAGTTGAACAGGGTAGGCGGCGCCTACCTTGCCTACCCTGACGAGCTGCCCTTGCCATCTTTCGTCCTATATTCTGGCTAAGTGCCATCTTATCTCCATTTAAGGTAGATGTCATTTCTTACATTTAAGTTTTTTCTTATTGTGTCTCGTTGTCTTGTCACATTTGTTTATTTTACTATTGCTTACCCTTTTTCAAAGTATATACTTTTTTATTTTGCTTTTACTGTGTTGGCTTTGGATTACTGTGTTTTTGTTGTTTTTTTAACATTGTTTCGGAAGCTTAGGTCGTAGTGAACAAGGTGCATGGGGTGAAAACTTTTAGATTTTTCTTGTATGAAAGAGCCGTTAAAAACTGATTTTAACTTCCCGAATCTGTTCAAACAAGTTGTATTCTTCGTTAGAAATTGTGTTTCTTCCTGTAGGGTGTTTTTGATCCAAATATATAGGTTCTACGACTATCTCTACATTTTCGTTGCTGAACTATATCCGCCAGCTATCGTTTTTGCCATTGTCTTTTTTTTATATATTCGTCTTTAGGATTACGAGCCCTGTCCAATATCAAATCTTCAGAATTCATATCCGAAATTGGACAGTATAATTTTATCACCCAGTAGACCGAATGAATTTATTTGTTATTAAATACACACACGTAGTTAATTAGGTTACATACACATTTGGTCAATTATCAATAATATAATTTGGACATCAGTCAAAAGTGCTGACAAAAGTTAAACAATTTACATAAATTACATACACATATCACGCGAGGTCCGCGAATATATTGACCTAATTAAAACTTATATAAAACTAAGATCTCTTGCCTAGAGAAGCATTCAATGAATATTCACTCAACAAACTTGATAGTCTTCAACGATCAACTTCATCAGTCCCCACTCAAAGTAATCCCGGGTCAACACCCATAGTATATGTCTCATCAATAAACTCTGCTACTATTATTTGGTGTTTCCATTACAACTGAACGAACATCTTTACTGAGCCAACGAAGGGGAATTTGTTCAAGCCCTCACAACTATATAGTGGGAGAAATTAAAATATATAACAAATTCAGGCATTTGACTGTTAATTTATTATTTTTTTTATAATATAATATTAAATAAACAATATTTTAAATGATATATACTTACAAAACGTAATGAATAGTGTTTCATACAATTTTACTATACTTTCTAGAACAATAAACTATTCCTATATACATTTATCTGTAAACAAAATATGAACTAATTTCTACCTATTTCTAATATTTTTTAATCAGTTGAAAAGTTACAACTTTGTGGAGTATTAGCCACTCCGTTCACAAATCCTTGCTAGTCGTTCGTATCAAAGTCCAAAGTTTAGGTACAGGTATTCAGGACCGTATTTTCAAAAATAATACGAAATCTCACTAAATGATTAAAATTGGGTGAATCCTTTTTATAAATGAAAATAAAGAACACTAAAAAATATTTTAAAATGATAAAACAATTCTAAAAGAATTCAGATATGACATTATAAATGCTATTATTGCAAACATAGTTTAAGTGACTTCCCCTTAACTCTTGACATTCATTCCAATTTAAAACCATACCATTAAATCCACTGTTAAATCATATTATGTTCAGCGCTTTGCTAATGTACGTGGTATATAAGACGATACACTACTTTTATACCGAATTGTATAGCATCTATACGCAATGAACTACTTTTACAAAAAAAATGAGATCGACTACATACTGTCCACGAAACGATATATCATTGAAGATGTCACAGTTCTTAACAGATTTACAACAGGTAGCGATCACAGGATGGTCAGAGCAAAAATTAGTATTGACGGTAACTATGAAATGAGAAGAAAAATAATTAGAAACTGGGATCTAGTAAATAAAAACAAACTAGAGCAATATAAAGAGATATACAAAGACCTATTAAAAGAACAACTTACCCAAAAATTAGACAGTGATGATAAAGATATAGAAAAAATGGACAACATACTTACAGCAACGATGATTACATCAGGAAAAGAAAGGGATCTAAAAAAGAACAACTATATATCAATAAAAACAAAGAAACTTATGGATAAAGGAAGGAAGCTGAACGAAGAAGGCAAAAGGAAATCTATAGAATATGTAGAAATCAGTAAAACAATAAGCAGAATGGTAAAAGAAAATAAGAGAAAAGAACAAAAAATAAAAATAGAAAAAGTAATACAGAACAACAAAAATATGAAATGCTTTAGATCGAAATTAGGTAAGTTTGAAATAAACAAAATAAAAGATGTAAACGAAGTAGAAACAAACATTAAAGATGACATCATAAATAGAATCCACCATTTGTACTCAGAATTATATATAAAAAAAGGAACCACCAGAAGATATTAAAAACCAACTTAAGGCCAAAAAAAGGTCAACTCAGAGCTACAGCCAGAAATAAGCAAATCAGAAATAAAGAACGCATTGAAAGAAATGAAAAACAACAAATCGCCCGGAAAAGATGGAATAACTGCAGAGATGTTGAAATATGGTGGAAAAGTGGTAATTAATGCTCTACATTCCCTTTTTAACAAGATATTAAAAGAAAAGAGAATCGCAAACAACTGGAAGGAATCCGTAACCATTATCATATACAAGAAAGGGAATAAAGCAGATATAAAAAACTACCGTCCTATAACACTCCTCAATGTTATGTATAAACTCAGAACAAAAATTTTAACCAATAGATTGTCGACAAAATTCGACGGATACCAGTCGAAAGAACAAGCAGGTTCTAGAAAGGGATTGAGCACAAGTCATCATTTACTAAGTATGAAAATATTTATAGAACAAGCAAATGAATACCACATATTTCTATCTCTCTCTCTCTCTCTCTCTCTCTCTCTCTATATATATATATATATATATATATATATATATATATATATATATATATAGCGTTCATAGATTTTGAAAAGACTTTCGACAGTGTCGAACATTGGGCAGTGAAAAGTTCTTTGAATAACAGCAGAATTGACCACAGATATACGGAACGAATAGCCAGTATATACAAGAAAGCCAAAAAGCAATTAAAGTATATGAAGGAACAAAATCAATACAAATAAATAGAGGCGTGAGACAGGGTGACACAATATCACCGAAACTTTTCAATCAGGCTTTGGAAGATATTTTTAAAATATTAGAATGGGAAGAAAAAGGTATAAAAATTTGTGGACAACGCTTGAAGCATCTAAGGGACGCTGATGACATCGTATTGATTACCGATAAAAAAGAAGAATTGTTTGAAATGAAAGAACTGGACGTAGAAGCTGCAAAGATAGGCCTTAATATGAACTTCAACAAGACCAAAATTATAACAAATACAGATGGAAGACATCACAATGATGATCGGACAAGTTGAAATAAAACAAGCTTAGGATTATATATTCTGGGTCAAACTATAAAACTTAACAAAGAAAACCAAATAGCAGAGATAAAAAGACGAGTTAGACTGGCATGGGCGGCATTTGGCAAACTAAGCTACATTCTTAAAAACAAAAGATATCCATAGCATCTTAAGACTAGAGTATACAATCAATGCGTACTCCCTGTTCTCACTTATGGTTCCCAAACGTGGACATTTACAAAAGCAAACATGGACAAAATCATAAAACCCAAAGAGCAATGGAAAGACAAATGTTGCACATAAATCTAATGGATAAAAAGGGAAACGAGTGGATAAGAGAGAAAACAAAAGTGAGGGATGTTAGACAAGAAGTTACAAAATTTAAATGGAGATTTGATAGACACAATATAAGACAAAAAAAAGACCGATGGAACAAAATTCTTATAAGTTGGAGACCATGGGAATATAAACGAAGTAGAGGAAGGCCCCAAATAAGATGGTTAGATGATATCAAGAAGCACGTTGGCTCTAGGTGGATGGCTGTAGCGACAGACAGAGAAGAATGGAAAATAATTGGGGAGGCCTATGTCCAAAGATGGACCGAAGAAGGCTAATTAGATAGGTAGATAGAGTATAGTTTTTGAAAGCTACCTTAACATAAAAAAAATCGATTTACTTTTATGCGAAGGCGTCTTGAAAATATTTTCATAGTATGTAATTAACAAGTCTAGTTATATTATATTGTGTGTATGATTTTTTTCTTAGAATTTTTGGCAGCAGCAGAATATTTAAGTGTGGATCCGTATATGCGAGCATACGCTCCAAGAGTAAAGACAGGAAAGACTTTTATGGGATCTCAAGTTGCTAAGTAAGTATTTCGTCTTTTTGTTATCGTTTTTTTTTCTATATTTTAAAAGTTTGTTGGATGTTTATTACGGACAATATTAGGTATTGTATACTTATTTAATATATTTATTGTTCGTGAATCTGTTAGTAACTTCATTGGCTATGAATGTGTTAGATTGTGAATTTGTTCACAGATGGTTAGAAAAATTCAAGTGTTTCGTGTCACGCACACCAGCCTCAACCAAGTTCCCTGAAAGCCGCCCAGCCCAAAAATCATTGATGTTATGCTCGGTCATGACATAAAAGGAAAAACCATAGATGATCAACAGGCGACAGCATATTACAGATGGTGGACAGAAGCAGGGAATCTAATGGATAAGACTACGCCGCGTATCAGCATATACAGAGTGATATGAAAAATACTAAATTCGGGAAGAATAGAAGAAAAAAAACGGGATACTAGAATATAATTACGATTCTTTCAGCCTTCACAAAAAGGTCAAAGAAGAAGCAGATCTTTATAAATAAAAAGGCTGGGATACTCAAGAAAACAGACGCTCAAGAAAATTCAATAGTTAGTAATAAAGAAATAAAAACAAAATAGATGAACTTTGTGACAACAACATGTGAAGAAAATAGGATTTTCACTGCCACACGGGATAAAAATGACGATACCGGATCACTTAGTCTTTAAGCGGAAAGCCGCATTGACTTCTACGCAGAATTTTTAAATATATGTATACTGTAAAAGTCTTGTATTCTTTTCTTCTTGGCTCTTTTAGGATGGTGAAAGTTGGAAGTTACTTCTAGATTGTTAATTTTCACTCATTGGGATTTGTATACCATTTATCGAATTTCTCTATAATAGCCTGTTCCATGTTGCATTCTACTAATATACCTAGATACTAATATGCCGTATCCAACTGCATAAACATATCTATCATTATTTACGTCAACTGAAGCGAAACGGTAGTTTTCATAAAATCCATATTGCTATCATGTTGGATGATTTTATTTGAGACATAGAAGAGTGCGCTAACGATAATCCTTAACATTTTGTTTTGAAACCTCAACCTTCCGTTACTCGCGCACAGTGTATGAGACCGGCCCTGTAAATAATTTCAAGTAACTCTGATTGTAGTGGGGATTTGGAATTGCTGCCAGAGAACATCGAACACAGAGAACCGACACGAGGCCCGGAATTGGTGTATCTTTTCTGTATACGCATGACCCAAATAAGGTGCTTTCCTGTCAAAAACACGTGCGTTTTCTTCAATTTTAAGTTGCTTACGATAGTCCGTAGGCATCTGTGGTAAACTCTCGACTATACAAGTGCATTTGACCATTTATCTAATTATTTAGTAGTTAAAAGTTTATAATTATAGTTTATAGTTATAGTTAAAATATATAAGTTAAATATATAAGTTTATAGTTATAGTTTATAGTTAAAAGTTTAATTTATAAGTATTTAAAATGTCTTCTGGTTATTGTTGTGCGTTTCGCGGATGTTCATCTGTGACAGGAAAAGGAATAAGTTTATTTAGATTTCCTAAGAATAATAACAGGTAATTACTATTGCTTTGTAATTATTATTAGTTATTACATAATAGTATTAATTTGACTTTGAGTAAGCCGACACCGACGTGTCCGCCCGAGCTCTCGTTAAGTGAAGCAATAAAAAAATAAATTTTGGTTTGCCAAGGGATAGTTCAGAATAAAAACCAGAGAACTACGAACACACATTAAATTTATTGTCTCCGAAGGCTCAGGTCAAAAAATCAACACAGATGTTGGCCTACTGGTGTGAAAGCGCTCGCAGACAACAATACGAATATAGTATTTTTAGGAAATAAAAATATATAGAGGGTTTTATACACGAGAATATTTGATTTAAACAAAACAAAGAAATTCCTAAAATGCTCAAACTAAAAATTGTTGGAAACATCATTAGATCGAAAATTGGGAAAATCTTAAAATTATAACAGAACAAGACTTCAAAATAAAAACATGATTGCAAATAAACAAACTTACATTAATATAACTTCAAATATTTGCTGTCTTTTTCACCAAACAAACTTACACTAAATTATGAAAAAACTAAATGCTCATCTACTTTTTGCTATATACAAAAGTTGTCTGTCAATGTTTAATTCGTTAAATATAAATAACAAAGATCAAATATATGGATCGGAGTACACAACATATTTAGGGAATAAATATTTAAATGGGAATTACAAATAAAAAATATTAAAACTTTATTTATTGTATATCTCAATATTTAGTGACAATTTTGAGACTTAATTAGGAGAAAACTGTAAATTTATTAAGATGAGATATTGACAAAAGTTAAATACAATACAATACAAAGTAATCCGCTATTGTGTAGCGGCGTCCATCTTGGATATACAATGATACTGAATGTATGTAGTGTATGTATAGTCGATTCGCTAATCTCAGATACAACTATCTAGTATTTTAGTAATTATTTTATTGCGAAAGTTAGTTACATTTTAACAGACTAGAACTGGATGACAATTACTATATTTACAACCAAGCACATATGCCCATAGCCAATATTAAGAGTAAACAGACATAAATCTTACTCCAATCAATCATTATTTATTTACACTGTTATATAATTCCACAACAGACAACGGAAGATTTGACCAATAATTTAAAGGTAAATGCTCCAAATATACATTTTTACTTCAAGAAGTTAAAGGTTACGGAGTACCAAGCAAACTTTAAAGTTTCATATCCATTGGATTATAAAAATGAAGTTCTCAATCCCAGTATCTGGCCTGAAGGTTCAATGGTTCGTCGTTTTGACTTCAAGTATAAGAATTGTACTAACCGCAGTTAACAACAAAACCAGAAATAATTGTTACAAATCCGGCTTAGGCAAACTAGATACTACAAATAATTTTAAAGGCAATACCAATCAACTAAAAATCGTATGTATTAACTCTGAATCTATTGTAAACAAAATAAATTGTATCCAAATATTAGTTTAAACTGAAAGTCTGGATTTACTATGTATATCCGAATCATGTGTAATGACAATAATATAAATTCGTTTTATCTTCCTAATGCTCTCTTGTAATGATTCGTAATACTTTTTTGATTATTTTTTAGGTTATTAGGATAAAGATAATTTATTAGGAAATTCCACGACGAACAAATTATATCTTGTATCAACACAAGCCAAAAAGAATCGGTGTATTATTGTATTATCAACGTCAACATCAGAATAAACAAAAAAGTATTTTCATCTATGGTTCCATCAATACGATTTTCACCATTACTTTGCGTTGTGCGATGTATTTGCAACCTTTTGTAAATCAAAAATAATTACACCATTTAGAATGTCAACAAAAGCCGGCCCTGCATGTAATTATTTTTTCAGTGCAATATTTCATATTTATTGAAAGTCAACATAAATGCTCAATTTTATTTAAGAATTTATATTGTGTAATATGCCCACTGACTATTAAAAAATAAGGTGCTTTCCTGTCATTTTCACTCGTTGGCGGCTTGCCCACGCAAGATCAAAGGAGTGTCGCTTCTCTGCGTTCGTAGTTCTCTGTTGCTGCTTCATGTACATGTACCTCTTCCACTCTTCCAGTCGTCGGCGTCGTCGGTCACTTATCGTTGAAGTCTGTGTGTAGTGTAGAAAACAGCATTATAATTTTATTATTAGGCAACACGGTCCGGTACACCGGGTGCGAGTATTGGGGACACATTTTTGTGCTTTGGATCAGACATTGAAAGTTTTACTTTGCAAGGTGATTTAAGTTCTTTTTATTATTTTCAATGTTTATATATTTGTATATTTATAGATATATGAATATGGATTACGAGAAGGAGAAAAAGAGATTATTAAAATTATTTGAGGAAGTATCGACTGACGAGGAAACGTATGAAGATGATGATAAACAAAAAGAAATTGACCATGTAAAAGAACGATCTGAATGTAGTGATACTGAACAGGAATTTGAAGCCGATCAAACAGAGGAAGAAAATGTTAGTTTCAGAAGGGAGCCGTACTTTATGGGTAAAGATAAATTAACAAAGTGGAAAAAACATTGTCCACCGAAGAATGTAAGAACACACAGTACCAATATATTTGTACGATTGCCAGCTATAAAACAATTTGTTAAAACTCACTCAACACCTATTGACATCTGGAATTGCATTTTTGATGAAGAAATGCTAAATCTAGTTGTTGACTGTACAAATATAAAAATTCAGAGTGTTACAAATGACTACAGTAGACAAAGAGATGCGAAACCTACCGACATTGTCGAAATCAAAGCCCTAATTGGTCTCCTTTATCTTGCTGGTATTAGAAAAGCAAATCACATGAATTTAGAGGATCTCTGGAGAACAGATGGCACTGGCATTGAAACTTTTCGACTTGTAATGAGTAAGCCTCGATTTCAATTTCTTTTGCAATGTCTGCGATTTGATAACATTCACACGAGACATGAAAGAATACAGGTAGATAAACTGGCTCCAATTCGAACATTGTTAGAAAAATTTAACAGCAACATTAAAAAATGCTATTCTCATTCTGGTTATGTTAACATAGATGAGAAACTAGAAGCTTTTAGAGGAAATTGTATTTTCAGACAATATATTCCTAGCAAGCCGAATAAATATGGTATAAAATTTTTTGCCATTTCCGATGCAAAACAATTCTATACCAGCCACTTAGAAGTTTACGTCGGAAAACAACCAAATGGCCCTTTTCAAGTTAGTACAGCGACGCAAGACGTAGTAGAAAGAGTTTGTGCACACATTTATGGGAGTAATAGGAATGTTACTGTAGATAATAATTGGTTTTGTAGTGTGCCTCTAGCTGATAGCCTTAAATCAAAAAAATTAACTTTAGTGGGTACTATTCGAAAAAATAAAAAACAGTTGCCATTAGAATTTATACAAAATAACGGCAGGTGCATTGGCTCTTCAATGTTTGGATTTAATGACGGAATCACCTTGGTTTCGCATATGCAAAAAAAAAATCGAAACGTCCTACTTATCTCTAAAATGCACCATGGAGATGATATTGACCCTACCACAGGTAAAATTGAGATGATAATTACATATAATGAAACAAAGAGCGGAGTAGATGTGGTAGATAAATTATGCGCGCAATATAATTGCGCCCGTGCCACAAGACGATGGCCCATGGCTCCTTTTTTTAGTTTGTTGAATGTAGCAGGCATAAACTCTTTTGTAGTTTATACAAGTCTATATGAAGAATCTAAAACACCACGTAAAGAATTTTTACTAAAACTCTCGATGTTACTAACCAGTGACTACCAAAAATACGGGCTATGTCTACCAGTTTACCCAGAACCATCAGAATGAGGCTTAGGGAGATATGTGGCTTACCAGCGGAACAAGTACCAGTCATAACACCTGGAACTCAAGGTCGCTGTGCTGTTTGTCATTGGCGGAAAAATAGAAAAACAAAATATTACTGCCAAATATGCACAAAATATCTGTGTTTGGAACATGTTACATCATTGTGTAATTCATGTTATGAAAATTTTAATTAATATTTCCTATTTTTTTTTGTTGCAATTACTCTTCATTTTTGATTTTTTTGTGTATTGAATTAATTTCTTGAAGTTCCTAGTAAACAAATTTAACAATATTCAATGTATTTTTTTTAATTTTTGAAGTTTTTTTTTATATATAAATGGATAACAATGAAAATTAGTTAACTTTTCATTAAACTAATATAATGTTGAAACAAACGCATATCTACAAAATTATATGATCATATATTCATTAAATAATATAATTGTACACAATTTTCAAAAAAATATATTACTGACCCCATTTTTTCGGACCCGGTCTTCTGCACCGTTCGCGAGTATTCGATCACAGAAAATTGGCGCGAGTAACGAAAGGTTAAGAATATCGATGTTAAAGTTCATGAAAGTTACAAAATCCACAAGGAAAAAATTCCTGTAGCTGGCTGTATACCACGTATAACAAAAAGAGGTTAATCTTTGTAAATGGGTATATTTATTTAAAAAACCCTTAAAAGGGCCACATCAATAGAACAAACGTTTTCGGACTACACAGTCCATCATCAGGTTATTAAAATCGAAAATGCTAGGTCATAATGCCTGAGCCACCAAAATATTAGGGTAAAAACCCTTTAAATTACATTTAGTTATGAAATGTTGTACATTGTGTTATAAAATAACTGTGATGTTATATATTAAATTAAATTTGACCAAAGGTAACACATGGCTCAAATGGGTTCCAGAGCCGGGCGAGAGACAACCTCTGCACTCGGAGAGTACCAGTATTAGTAAATAATTTAGTTTGATTTGTTTGACTAACCTTGTCACTTTTTCGGTATTGCTATTGGCTGCGATGACAAAGATACAGTTTTTTATGTTTTGTGATCGTGACTGCAACCACAGAAGGATTGGTGTATTTTGTGCTACAACAGCCAACAGCAAAAGATAAAGTTGGTTCATCTTGAATGGAACCCAACGCCGACGCAAACGGCGAACGATGTTTATAAATAGACATACAAGTTTCCCATTTGACCATTTTGTAACGCGAACGTCAGAGCCAGCGCCAACGCCAACGTAAAGTTTATAAATCAGCCTTTAGACTTAAGTATTTTCTTTTAATAAACAATTTTTTTTCCTATAATTTTTATAATTTTTTTTGGGTTGCAGTAGATAGGTACATATTCTTCTAATTCTTTTTTAATAAATTATAATGATATATTGTTCTGAAGCTATTTTCTTGTGGCATTATAAATTAATCACTATTTAACTGGGAATAAGCCACAATTAAAGATAAAAATACGTTTATTGACGTTTCAATTTCCACTTCGGAAATTGTTCTCAAAATACAAACAGTAAATTAAACAAATTTTGTTTTTCGTTACATAGTGAAAAATTCTTCTAATAATTTAATTTTATCTGACTCATTTATATTGACAATTCAGACATACATTATGCATTTTAAAGTAGACGACTTTAAAATGATATTGCCAATATTGTTGAGTTGCGCTCCTGTGACGACTTTACTTATAAGATAGTTCATTCGATTACATGAAATCAACTTTAACTTGAGAATATCCATCAGAAAAAATCACAGCATGTAATTCGTCTTTAAAAGATAAACACATGACATGATGACAGTAAAATTCTCCTATTAGTGATTCCATAGTAAATTATGAGGAAAAACCAGGAAAAAAACCAGGAAAAAAACCTCATAATACTATCCCGACATTGTAAGTATTTGTTCTTGAATTTAGTTTACCTTCAACAAACATCAAAATTCTGATTTTATATGTAACGTTATTTAAAAAACATAAATGATGTATCATCTATATGTTACTGAATTACTAATACTGGTATTTTCTTATTAATAACTTCCTCTTTCAATATTGGTAACCAGATCCTACTACATTCTGCCGAGGAATTTGCGACACAATTGGCCTCACTTAGCATAATTAGAGCCGCTTCTTTGATTTTTCTTTTTTTACCATCCGTTTCTTTTAGGACTACATTTGAATTATTCCATTGAACCCTATGTTCATTATCCCATTCGTGTTTACATATTTGAGATCTATCAAATTCTCTATTTTTAATATAAGATTGATGTTCATTTATTCTAACATTTAATGGCCTTGATGATTCACTTAAATAAAACTGATTGCATTCACAAGGTATTTTATAAATGCAATTATGTATATGTCCTTTCTTGTTCATTGTTAGGTTTGGTTTTGGACAAAGTAGATCTCAACGTGTTTGTTGTTTTGAATGTTGTTGAAATGTTGAATTTATTTCCTATCCTTTTAAGTTTTTCTGATAATCCTTTTATGTACGGTATTGTTATTTTCCTCATCTTATTCCTTGTGTATGCTGTAGGATCTCGTTCTAAGTTGTTCTGTTCTATTCGATCGATTGTTGAAGATTCCTTATTTATAAACGATAAAGGATAATCATTAACATCTGTTTTATTAAAAAATGATTATCCTTTATCGTTTATAAATAAGGAATTTTCAACAATCGATCGAATAGAACAGAACAACTTAGAACGAGATCCTACAGCATACACAAGGAATAGTATGAGGAAAATAACAATACCGTAAATAAAAGGATTATCAGAAAAACTTAAAAGGATAGAAAATAAATTCAACATTTCAACAACATTCAAAACAACAAACACGTTGAGATCTACTTTGTCCAAAACCAAACCTAACAATGAACAAGAAAGGACATATACCTAATTGCATTTATAAAATACCTTGTGAATGCGATCAGTTTTATTTAAGTGAATCATCAAGGCCATTAAATGTTAGAATAAATGAACATCAATCTTATATTAAAAATAGAGAATTTGATAGATCTCAAATATGTAAACACGCATGGGATAATGAACATAGGGTTCAATGGAATAATTCAAATGTAGTCCTAAAAGAAACGGATGGTAAAAAAAGAAAAATCAAAGAAGCGGCTCTAATTATGCTAAATGAGGCCAATTGTGTCGCAAATTCCTCGGCAGAATGTAGTAGGATCTGGTTACCAATATTGAAAGAGGAAGTTATTAATAAGAAAATACCAGTATTAGTAATTCAGTAACATATAGATGATACATCATTTATGTTTTTTAAATAACGTTACATATAAAATCAGAATTTTGATGTTTGTTGAAGGTAAACTAAATTCAAGAACAAATACTTACAATGTCGGGATAGTATTATGAGGTTTTTTTTTCTGGGTTTTCCCTCATAATTTACTATGGAATCACTAACAGGAGAATTTTACTGTCATCATGTCATGTGTTTGTCTTTTTATAAGTATCTTATAAGTAAAGTCGTCCCAGGAGCGCAACTCAACAATATTGGCAATATCATTTTAAAAAGTCGTCTACTTTAAAATGCATAATATATGTCTGAATTGTCAATATAAATGAGTCAGATAAAATTAAATTATTAGAAGAATTTTTCACTATGTAACAAAAAACAAAATTTGTTTAATTTACTGTTTGTATTTTGAGAACGATTTCCGAAGTGGAAAATGAAACGTCAATAAACGTATTTTTATTGTGGCTTATTCCCAGTTAAATAGTAATTAATTTATAATAATATGTTATAAATTTAAAATTTTTTAGGATCGTAGAGAGTAAAAATTCAAAATTTCCAGAGGGAACATATATAGTCGGAGAATATGGATGGAAAACCCACACAATATCAAATGGAAAAGGCACTGTCAGCGGGCTGCCATCGGCTTGGATCATACCAGACATTGGAAACCTTCCACATTCACTAGCTTTAGGAGTCTTAGGAATGCCAGGGTAATTAACAGATAAATTCTCTAAATTGACTTTATGTATATATCATTTTAGAAATACAGCTTACTTTGGATTATTGGAACTATGCCAGCCAAAAGCAGGTGAAACAGTAATTGTTACCGGTGCTGCTGGGGCGGTAGGTAGCCATGTCGGACAAATAGCCAAAATAAAAGGATGCCGAACAGTCGGTGTCGCTGGATCCGACGAAAAAGGTAAATGGCTTGTAGACGAACTAGGATTTGATCATTTTATCAACTATAAGAAAGATGATTTACGAAGTAAAATTAAAGAATTTGCACCATATGACTGTTATTTTGATAACGTAAGTAGAGATACATACATTTTAATCCCTATCTTTCCACTTTAATAGAATTATTTTACTTCATTATCATCCTTTACTCAACATTATTTTGTAAATCTTGGCCTGCTCCAAGATTCGTCACCATTCTCTTCGGTTTATGGCAACCTGTTGTCATAGTCTGATTTTTAACACCCCTACCTCGGTCTCAACTTCATTTAACCATCTAATTCGTGGTCGGCCTTTGCATCTTTTTACTACAGGTGATCCTGTGGTTAGCTTTTTAGCGATCGTATTATGTGTCCAGTCTATCTGAGTCACTGTGTTTTAATGAACGTTGCAACGTCTGGTTCATTAAAGAGTTGGTATAATTCGAAGTAATATTTTTTGCAACACTCCCCTTGGTCGTTTATAGCTCCAAATATTTTGCGGAGTATTTTCTTCTCGAATATTCGCAAAAGTCTTTTATCATTCTGATCCGTGTTCGGCAGTGCATCATATATAATAATTTTAGTTTTTCTTTAAATGTTTAGAAGACTGTTCCTCATTCTTCATTTGCTACATCTAGGTTGCTACGCTCTATGTCAATGTCATTAGAGTACACTAAGATTTGTATCGATCTATTGTAAATAGTACTGCCGGCTCTAATTCGCGTGTCTCTGAATGCCTGTTCCAATATTAAATATTAAACAGGAGGCAAATTTAAGACAATCATTTATCATAAAAGTTGAAGAATTCTCTCCCCGTATCCCGTATCCTTGCTTTTAAGTCATCCGTGTGATAGACATTGTCATCCGTGTTAGTCTTAAGTTTTTTTGGTATACCAAACTCACGCATTGATTGTTATAAGTATTACTGTTCTCTTGATACTTTCGTACGCGGCCTAGAAGTCGACAAATAGGTGATGGGTTTCAGTGTTAAATTTTGTCTTTTCGTTGATCTGTCTGAATGAATATTATCATTTGTTGATTTTTCATGAGTCAATCCGGCCTAGTATTTGCCAATTATGTCCACTTTGTAAACTCGTAGCCTTTCGTAGAGAATATTGGCTAGTATTTTGTAAGCAGTTGTTTACAGGGTTAACTGTGTTGTTGCCATACTGAAGCTGGTTAGCTTTTTTATATAATGGGCATATCTCGCCTTGAGACCATTCACAGGGCATGGTCTCATTTTACCGGACAAGAAATACAAGTTAATGCAGTATCTGTAGCAGGGTGTTAGCACTACTCGCTCCGTGCGTGACTGACGCGACACCTACCGCCTTCATCTGACAATTTTGGACCTCCCAATTTTCAGGTTAAGCATATGACATATGTTTGACATTGCTAAATACATGCGAAATTGACAATTATTAATAAATTAGTTTTTAACTATATTTTTTCAGTTTATGTACAAAATAAATGTAGTATTAAAAAATGGGTTTCTCAAAATTCATCATAATATATCTTTTCAACTCCAAAACGGAAAAGAAAGAAAAAAATATAGTACTGGCAAAGTTTTTCTCACAAAAGAGCATATAATTAAAAACAATAATAGTAAAAATTATGATATAAAAGCTAAAGTCATCTGCAGTTAGCTTGAAGCCTTATGAAATATCATTCAAGGTAAATTATTTAAATTTTTCCTATTTCAATTGTATAAAAATGAAATTATGTGATATTTACTTTTTCATATTAATAGCACGAATTCATCTTTTTCTTTTCTCTAATTTATATGTAATCTTTGGGAACCTATAAAAACTACACTCACTGTTTTTGCTATTATTAGCACACTTAAATACGCAACATGTATTTGCACACATTTTTGATAAAATTAATGCTTAAAAATATTTTGTCCAATACTCCAATTTTGTCATATTTCGCCGCTACGCACGCTGGCATCGTTTCAATGTACCCCTACCATGGTCACGCACGGAGCGAATAGAGCTCACTGCAAATTTGATGAGTTTAACCTCCTTAATGGTACAACCTTCTCCTTTCGTTTGGGTTGAACAGATTCTAATCATTTCGATTTGCTAGGTTGTTATCTGCTTCTTTTTGGCTTAAACTCTTTCTGATTTTGTTCATATTGTTGTAGAACTCCCGAGTTTCGTTTTGATTTCTTAGCCCTTCTATGCTTTCTTACTACTTTTCCTCAAATTGTCTTTTTTTTCTATGTATTTTTTTCTACTTTTCTTATGGTCTGCTATTCCTCCTTTGCACTTCTTGTGCATCCTACTTGATTTGTCTTTATGTATGTGCTATATTTGTTATCTGTTGCTTCTTGGCACTCCTTGTGAAACCATTCGTTTTGTTTTAACTGATTTGGTTTTCCCAATGTTCCTGTTGCTTTCTCAATTAACCAAATAAAAATGACTTTTTGTTGATTATAATTGTATTATCAATGATATTGGTAAAAACTCTCGGATAATTTGACGAACTTCAATAACGAGAAATTAAATACCCTAAAATATTTTTTTTTAAACGCCAAAACAAATATAAAATCAATAAATTGTAGTTTAATTCCAAATAAAGTAATATTCATCTTATACGTGCCACAAGAAAACAATTTCAGAACCTCATTAAACAAAGTTACTAAATTCAATAATGTATCATCATTCTTCTTCTTCTTCACGTGCCATCTCCTCTAAGAAGGTTGGCAACCATCATGGCAATTCGCACTTTCGACGCCGCTGCTCTAAAGAGGTCAGCAGAAGTGCAGTTAAACCAAGCTCTCAAATTATTCAACCAGGAGATGCGTCTTCTTCCGCGACTCCCTTTACCCTGTATTCTTCCTTGCATTATTAATTTCAACAAGTTATAACGCTCGCCCCTCATAAGATGTCCTAGATATTGCAGTTTTCTGACTTTAACTGTATTTAAGACCTCTTCATCTTTTCCATTGTTCTCAACACCTCGACATTCGTGACTCTATCGACCCAACTTATTCTTAATATCCTTCTGTAGGTCCATAACTCGAAGGCTTTCAATCTGTCCGAAACATCTTTCTTTAAAGTCCAAGCCTCCAACCAATAAAATAATACGGAGAACACGTAGCATCTCAGAAGTCTTATCTTTAAAGAAATTGAAATGTCCCTGCTGCAGAGTACTAGTATCATCATTACCACCTGGCAAATCAACATTTTAAAACTATTACATTGACCATTATCTTTACTATAAATTAATAATGTTTACTCATTTTAGGTTGGAGGAGAGATCAGTTCGATGATAATGGCGTACATGAGCTTGTACGGTAGAATCTCTGTATGTGGGGCAATTTCTGGATATAACGATACAACAGTACCAAAAGGTATTTTACTTTTTTTAAAAAGGATCTTAATGTTTATCGAAATTATATGTATAGCGAAATTTTAGTGAAGGTAATCGTAAAAAAATACTTTAACGTACAATTCACCTATCAATTCAAGGCTGGAGTGTGTGCTATGGAAAAAGTTGTTCAAATTCTCCTGATATGCTGTAGTTCAGACTCTTTAATATAATAATAGCGTTTAATAATAATAATAGCGTTTATTGTCCAACAGAATCCATTTATAGGACAAAATACAATACTAAAGTTAAATGAAATATTAATAATTCATAGGTACTAACTAAATAACACATTTTTCGAGTATTTAACATAAAGAAACTACTTAATCACCTAGGTAGATCTCAGCCATCCTAGTAAGCTGCTTTGAACTGCAGTGAAATATATCGTAGTGAGCACTTAAGGAATTATAATAGTTGCACATGAGAAATAGAGGAGAATTTAACATAAGATTAGTTCTAGCTTGTGTATTTCTGAACGTAATCGAATTTCTCACTGGATAAGATGGAACGTTAAAATTTATTTGTCGAAGAATATCAGGGCAGTCAATGAGATTATGCAGTAGCTTGTACAGGAATATTAGGGAGGCATTAATTCGTCTAGATTCTAATGATACTACGTCCAAACCGCTACACAACTCGCTATTGCTGATGCCTCTCCTGGGATATATGCCGTTAATTTTGAAAGACAAAAATTTTAAAAATTTACGCTGCACGTGCAGCGTAATGGATTGTAATTGGATGTGTACATCATAAAAAGGTGACCAAATGACAGAAGCATATTCCAGTTTACAGCGTACAAAAGTGTAATAAAGTAATTTAATTGCCTTAGTATTAGTGAGATTTCGACTATTTCTAATTATGAATCCATAAGATTTAAGTGCTTCTTTAACCTTTAAATTAACATGTTCAACAAAGGTCTTTAATTTTATTCAAACGTTCAAGTTCATTGCCATCGATAATATAAGGATGGTATATATTAGACTGTTTCCTAGAATAACTAACTACTTTGCACTTATTGGCATTAAGATTCAAATGATTTGCATTACACCATTCATGTACACTATTCAGTTCACTCTGTAGAAAATGACAATCATTAAGGTCGCTTATCAATGAATAAATTATTAAATCATCGGCATAACATAAATATGGTGCAGAAATTGATTCACACAGATCGTTAATAAATAACAAGAACAATAATGGACCTAGATTAGAACCTTGTGGAATCCCTGAAGAAGCTAGGTACTTTTCCGATTTGTAACCATTATAAGCAACAAACTGCGTTCTATTTGACAAGTAAGACCTCATAAAAGTCACGGCATCCTCAGAAAGACCAAAGAGACACAATTTAGAAAGTAATACGCCGTGGTGAATTCTGTCGAATGCCTTCGTAAAGTCAGTATATATGACGTCAACTTGACTTCTATTATCTAGGGCTGCTGAGATATATTGTGTGACCATTAATAAGTTTGTCACAGTGGACAGATTGGAGACAAAACCATGTTGATATTGAGACAGCTGATTACGAGTGTGTGAATAAATACAATTATTCAAAACTATTTCAAAGACTTTCGATAGATTACAAATAATGGAAATTGGTCTATAGTTTTCTACCTGACCCTTTTCACCAGTTTTGAATATTGGGCACACTTTTGACTCCTTCCAGAGACTCGGATATTCCTTGTTAAGAAGACATAAATTAAAATTTTTTAAAAGTGGCACAGTTAAGGCACCTATACAATCCTTAACCAAAAAGGATGGAATATTATCAGGTCCACACGTCATTCTGTCTTTCAATTTCTTACTCGCAAAAATTATCTCAGACTCTAAAATTGGATAAAAATTTAAGTAATCTGCGTTAACTGAGGAAGAGTTAGACTTGAAATTTATATCTGATGGCAGAAAAACACTCTTGAAAAATTCTGCAAACACATTCACAATATTTTGTGGGTCGGAGGTAGTAATGTCATTATATTTCATCACACCAGGAATTCTTGAACTATTATTTTTTGAATTTGAATTTTGAATTTTTTTTAATATGTGTTCAATTGTTTGGTTTGGATTGCCTCAGTCGCAACGTGAGTTGGGTCATTTTCCTCATTTATGAAGGTTATGTTCACAAAAACCATGTCCAGTTCTGATGTGGTTTAAAGTCTTCCAGATATGTCGTGGTTGGTTGAAGCCATCGGGTTTTACAATTGGGTCACTTATATTTCGTACATCGGGTGGGACAGTTTCAGTCCAGAGCGTCTGCCATTCAGACTTAATGTTAATGTAATTACTTGCTGTCAATTGTTGTGCTAATAACATTGGCGGTCTTCTAAATCGAAGTCGGTTTATTGCCAAGTCCGGGAAATCCTCATAGATAGGATTAGTGTTACTATTTTCCTTTATTCTTGTATCAGGATGTCTTGCCTTCGTATGTATCCACTCATTGTTCGCATTGCTATGTTATGCTAAGTGTCCACTTTCTTGGTATAAGCGCTGTTTATCTCTACCGGTATACCAGACTAATTACATATAATCGCGCTCTCTCTACTGATGCTCCCCTGGTAGTGCTATACAGTCTCTGAATAAGATTTTTCGTGTAATTATTTGTGAGCTGTTGTCTTGAGGTGTTTTTTGAATGATAGAGTTGTGCCTATGATAAAGCGTTTTCCGATATATTTTGGATATCGGTGATAGGGTAGTTACACTGTGTTATTCATTTGGACTTCTAATTCATAGTTTGTTTTATTGTTTTTAAGGTGGTAGCAGCTGATTTCGATTTTATTCAGGTTTGCTATTAACCGCCACTTGGTGAAGTTTTTGGTTCGTTGGTCAACGTGTTTTAGGTAGCTTTAAACTATTTGTGTTATACAGCTAAGGCTAGATCGTCAGCATATATAAACTTTCTAGCGTTGGTTTCAGGTAGATTTAAGATATTATATAGATTAAATAACATCGGGCTAGTTGTGATCCTTGAGGTAAACCATTGTTGAGATTTCTTCATTTGATTAAGATATTTCCATGAACCACTGAACAGTCTGACCATCATACAAGAAACAGTGAGAGAAATAAAAGAAAACCTGAAGAGAGATACAGAAAAACGGAAATCGTGGATTGCCGATGAAATACTTGAACTTATGAAAAATACTTATAAAAATCTCCAAGAATATAAGAGCATACATACTATCGTCAGAAGAAAAATAAGAGAGCCAAAGAGAAACAAAAGACAGAACAATGTTAAGAAATAGAGGAGTATCAGAGTCGATATGATAACTTTAACGTTCATCGAAAGGTGAAGGAATAAGCTAGAAAGTTCCGAAAACGCAAAAGCGGAAAAATAACAGATGATGAAGGCAAGCTTGCCATAATCAAAGAAGATAAAAATAAAGTATGGGAAGAATACTTGGAGAAACTTTTCCATGACCTTAGAACAATATAAGAACCCACCATTGAAGAAAATTCAGGTCCCGAAATTTTACCAGAAGAAATAACGGCAGCCGTCAGACTACCGTTATGGAAGGATGAAAAGGCACCGGCATTTGATGAAATTCCTGCAGAACAACTAAAAATAATAACTGAAATATTTAATCAAATATACAAGGCAGGAAAAATACGAGTGGCTCAAATCGGAGTTAGTACCATTGCCCAAAAAGCTAGGAGCAAAAGTTTGTGAAGATTATAGAACCATAAGCCTAATGAGCCATCTGCTGAAGCTGTTTTTAAAAGTCATCCACAGTAGAATTGTGCGAGGCGAAAAAAAAAAGCGAGGAACAAATTGCGCCCAATCAGTTTGGATTTGTGAACGCCGTTGGTACGAGGGAAACTTTATTTAGCGTGCAGGTATTGTTTCAAAAAGGTGAAAGGTAGAGATGTCAGCTGTAATGTTTTTGCATGTCTGATTGACTAAAAGAAGGCTTTCGATAGAGTCATGCATGAACAAATGATGGAAGTGCTGAAGAGGACAGGGATTGACAGAAAACACCTGGGGTATGCAGATGATACAATAGTGTTTTCCAATACCATAGAAGGGCTGAAAAAACTTAATGAACAAAATAATGGAAACAAGTAGAGCATATTAACTGTATATAAACACCAACAAAACCAAGCTAATGATCATCAGCAAGAAAAACATAACTGGAGCAAATCTGTATGTAAACCAAATGAGAATTGAACGTTTTTCATAATACAACTACTTGGGAACTATAATCAATGAGTCGTGGGACAATACCCAAGAGATTAAATGTTGCATCGGAACGGCAAAAAGTGCATTCTTGGCTATGAGCTCTGTTTTCAAGTGGCATAACCTCACCCTAGAAACAAAAATAAGGCTCCTTAAATGTTACGAGTACTTAGTGCTTCTGTACGGAGTAGTAACGTGGACATAGAAGGCGGAAACTGTATCAAAACTTCAGGATTTTGAGCTATGGTTATACAGAGGGATCCTGAAGATACAATGGACAGAGAAAGTCACCAATGAAGAAGTACTGTGGAAGATGAACACAACCGCGGATTTGGTCAACATCGTGAATGGCAGTAAGCTGCAGTATTTAAGACATATAATGAGAAATCAAGGCAGATACGAGCTACTTCAATGCATTTTGCTAGGTAAAATTAAAGAAAAAAGGCCCCAGGACAGCTATTTCGTATAGCAACCAACAAAGTCATCATAACCAGAATGATCGTCAACGTTCGGAACGGACAGGCACCCTAAGAAGAAAAATGGACCACTTAAAAGTATCTGCCAAAAAGCATGTTGTTTATCAGTCGAAGTGTTAACAACTTCTTTACTGTATCGTAGGCAGCTGTTGGGTCCACGAAAACTACGGCTATCATTTGTTGCTTTTGGAAGCCCGCTTCAATATGTGTAATCAGGCTGAGAACTTCAAGGAAAAGCTAGTTAGACAAAGATTAAACAAAGATCTTATTGTAGTTCCATGGTAGATTTTTTAAATAAAAACTTACTTTTATTGACTTACATACAGCTCAGTTGAACAAACTCTTGGTTCCAAAAGACAGATATGCCTGAACTATGGAAGACTGAATATAGACAAATCAAATTATGCTTACATAAGTTTGACTATTCTTCTTCTTAGCGTGCCATATCAGAATTATCCGACGTTGGCGATCACCATTGCGAAGGCTTCTCGATCTTCTGCAATATGGAATAATTGTCCTACATTTGGTATCTGAGTCCATTCACGAATGTTTTTTAACCAAGAAACTTGTTTTCTTCCTACACCTCTACGGCCCTCTATTTTGCCTTTAAGGATCAGTTGTAAAATTTTATATCGACTTTCCCTTACTGTATGTCTCAAATAAGACATTTTTCGATGTTTAACAGTCTTTAGCAGTTCTCTGTCTTTGTTGATGCTCCTTAGTACTTCTTCATTAGTTTTTCTTGCTGTCCAAGGTATTTTTAGCATTCGTCTATGAATCCACATTTCCAATGCTTTAATTTTGTTCATGATCAATACTTTTAGCGTCCACACTTCTGCACTATACAAAAGTACAGACCAAACATAGCACTTAACCATTCTTTGCCTTAGTTCTAAACTGAGATGGTTATTGCAAAGAAATGACTTCATTTTCATAAAAGTAGTTTTAGTCATTGCTATTCTACGTTTTATTTCTATGTCTGGAGCTACTTGGTCTGTTATCACAGTTCCCAAATATGTCATTTTGCGAATTTTCTCAACTTGAACTCCGTTCAATTGAAGCTTTGCATCGGGATGTGGGTCACGACTAAGCACTAAAAATTTGGTTTTGTTTGAATTTATTTTAATGCCCATTTCCTCTCCTACCTCGTGAATATGATCAAGCAGAATTTGAAGACCTTCAATATTATCTGATAGATTTATTGTATCATCTGCATATCTAATCACATTAAATAGTTCCTCATTGATTTTTATTTCATATGGTTGTCTCTTAAGTGCCTTTTTAAATAACTGGTCCGAGTAAACAAAATGCAACCTTGTCTGACTCCTCGTTGTATGTGGATTTCATCGGTATAGTTATCTCCAATTTTTACGATAGCAGTTTGATTCCAGTACAAGTTTTTTTGACTATAACTAACCAAAATGAGCAAGAAACCTATTTGAAATTATAAAGATTACGAATCATAGCAGTGTAAATCCTTTTGTAGAACTAACAAGAGAAAAGCATAGAACAAAAGAAGATGTATTGAAAAGGGCTTTTTCGAATGTTTGCGCTATTTATCATGTTTTGCAACATCTGATCTGATCTGCAACAATTTTAATATACTGTAAGAAAGCTTTACTTGAAGTCTCTTAATAGTTCTGTCTTAACGCTACTTTTAATCCAATAAAATAAATATATCTTCTAACTTGAACCAGAAGATCTGTTTATTGCGACTACTTTCTTACAATTGTGTAGCTACATATTATTACGATTCCATTTTTACTTTACTACTTCTTCGAGCGGTAAACATATTGTTGTTTTTCAACAATACATCTGATTGTTTTTAAAAGCATAACTAACTTTTAAAGTAGGTTGGTCTTCTTATTATGATCAGCGTGTTAAGGCACTTTTTGAACAATTGACTAGACTGTAAAACCTAAGTAAAAATATTGACTTTTTTCTTTTTAGCTACCATTGTGCAATATCCTCTGCTATTTAATCAGCTACGAATGGAAGGATTCGTTGTTCAAAGATGGGTGGATAGATGGTTCGAAGGTGTAGAACAAAATAAAAAATGGATTAATGAAGGAAAACTAAAGTATAAAGAAACTGTGACCCATGGATTTGAGAATATGTATGCAGCTTTTGCTGATATGTTACGTGGTGGAAATACCGGCAAAGCAATTGTTAAAGTGTAATATATAAATAAAATACTTTTATTTGTCTTCATTAATTTAACTCTACTTCTAATGAACGTGTGAATAGGTCCCACTTTTGGTGAATTTCAGAGTCTTTTAAAACGTAACAGAATTTTCAAATATTGTGAACCAAACATAACGAAACAACTACTAGTGAAGAAAACTTAAAACAAAAATAAATACCCTTGGAAAGCTTCGAGAATGTTGAAAGTGAAACTTTTAATCAATATTTTAGAAATTTGATGTTAACTTATTTAATCAACAATGTATTTCGGTTTAAACAGGTTTCAACGATGTTGAAAGTAGTAAAAGCAATCATGTTACAAAAGCCGGAAAAATAACCTAACGACGTGAAATGAGGCCAATATCACCGTTAACACGTATATCGACATTATTTAAAAAATTATTAAAAATTTCACTTTTGTGAATTGTAATATGTTCAAGATATGTTCAGGTGTAATATTTAATAACATCATATTATCAGATTTGTGCAGCGACTACGTCGCTCTCCAATCTCAAAGTGTAACATCATCGTGCCCAGGAGATGCATGGTACAGGAAAAAAATATTACCGTGAGGAATGCCCCAGAGAGCTGATTAAGTCTCGGGGATTATAACCTGTAAGGGCGCACTACCTGACAATATTTAGTCGTTGCAACTTATGGGAACAAAATGGACACTTATAAGGACAAAGGGAAAATGAATCAGTCCCTGCCGTCCACAGATTCAAGGTGGTCCCTGAACCGTGGAACTAATACCTGTTGAGGGTCCCTTGTCCAGGGTTACGGATGAAGACCACAACAGCAATCACAGCGGAGAAGGATACCTTCGGTACGATGAGAATGGCGGAAGTGGCGACCCCAGATTTTAGGCCTAGTGTAAAGTAAATTTTGACCGAACGATCGCCGGTATAAGCGATTCCACTAACCTTGCCAACGGTCTCTGGATAGAGGCCGGATGAGCATACGTAAAACAGGGCACTCTTTTGTCCTTAGGGTGGGAAACTAAAACTTTTGTCTTTAAATGGGGGATGAATAAAGGATGTCAACGGCATAAGAATACGGAAGGCAATGGGAAACCTCCGTATTAGAGGTCCCCAAGGATATCCCAAGAAAGACAAGGATGGAAAAGATATTGCAAGCAACGGCCTCTAGTCCGTGGCAGGCCTTAAGTGGCCAAGGGGAGCTAAGAATCTCCGCGAAGAAAAACAATGCTAGGAACCACCCGAAAGTGGGAAAAACCCCAAAGCTAAAACTGGGTACTTGGAACATTAAAAGTCTTTACACCGCCGGTAAACTAGACAACATAACACAAGAAATAGAACGATGCGACCTAGACATCATAGGACTTAGCGAAATGATGGCGTAACAGTGGTAAATGTACTAAACTAGACTCTTATAATCATGGGAGATTTCAATGCGAAGGTAGGGCAGGACGTATTGAAGATGTCGTGGGTGACTTTGGTTTGGGAGATCGAAACGAAAGGGGTGATATGCTAATCCAGTTCTGTCAAGAAGAAAAATTAGGCGTTGCAAATACCTGGTACAAACTGCTGCCTCGGAGACTCTACACCTGGTAGTCCCGACAACATATACATGTCAACATCGAAAGAAATCTAATTGATTTTTTATTGATTGTACGTAAAAACGTACCCTGGAACAGATATCGGATCTGATTACAATCCCGTAGTAGGAAAGTTGAAAATTCAGCTTAAGAAATAAAAAAAAATCCATAAAGAAAATTGATATAAACAGCTAAAACAACCTAACGTTAAACTAAAAGTCACACAAAAATTAAATGAGGCAATAACGGATATCATGGCAAGATCTAATCAACCGGCCAGTATAGAAGACAAATGGAATTGTATTAAAAAAAGCTATCGTAACCACCACCAAGTCTCTGATCGCTTCCCAAAAGTACAAAAAGAAGAATTGGATGACTGACGAAATATTATCAATGATGGACGTAGATCATTTAAAACAAGACAAATACGAAAAGAGTGTCGCAAAGCCAAAGAACAGTGGCTGCTAGACAGGTGTACAGAAATGGAGGAATTGGTAGAACAACATAACCACTTTAACATACATAAATTCGTTAAAAAATGACAGACCATACAAAACCTTGCAGTTTTAACAGTATTGTGAAGGACAATAAATGAATTACTGAACCCAAGGATCTACTTCAACATTGGAGAAACTACACACAGCAACTATACACAGACAACACTAGAAGAAATTCTGAAAGTGAATATAAAAGTGAACCCTCTCCCAAAATATTGAAGTCAGAAGTTGTAAGGGCAATCAAACAGCAAATGGGGAAAAGCACCAGGCTCAGACGACATATACATAGAGGTTCTAACAATGTTGAGTAAAGACAATATAGACGCCTTGGTAGATCTTTTTAAAGATATTTATAGGTCCAGTCAAATTCCACAGGATTGGCTCCAATTAACCTTTATACTAATCCCAAAAAAGCCAAACGCTAATAGTTGCGACCAATTCTGAATGATCAGCTTATTGAGCCAGGTCCTAAAACTCTTCTTAAAGATAATTCACACAAAAATATACAACAGATGTGAAAAAGACATTAGCTCCACACAGTTCGGTTTCAGACAAGGATTTGGCACAAGAGAAGCACTTTATAGCTTAACTGTCCTACTTCAGAAATCAGCAAAAATATGTCTTCCTATGCTTTATAGATTACCAAAAAGTGCTCGATTGTGTTAATCATTCAGAATGAGTAAGATTGCTCCAGAAACGTTCTATAAATGAGAATGACCTTAAAATCATAAAGAACCTTTATATGAATCAAGTGGCATCTGTGAGAATAGGACTGGAATCTACATCATATTTCTCAATCAAAAAAGGTGTACAACAGAGTTGTGTTTTGTCACCCCTCCTTCTTAATCTTTACTCTAAAAAGATTTTCGATAGAGCCTTAAGTGACACTGAAGATGGAATCAAAATCAACGGACAGACTATTAGTAATCTTCGCTATGCTGATGATACAGTCATAATATGTGATAGCCAAGAAGCGCTACAACGACTAATAGATAAAATAAATACTGAAGGAGAACGGCTGGGCTTGCAGATTAATATAGACAACACGAAGGTAATGGTGGTTAGAAGAACACGAAATATGCAATTAAATATAAGAGTAAACAATAAGTACACCCAAAAGGTCCCAAAGTTCAGATATCTCGGTAGTTGGATAACTAAAGATCTAGATCCAGATATAGAGATATGTAGCAGGATAGAGCAAGCCAGAACAGCATTTACTAATATGAGAACCTTCCTAAGCAACAACAGCAGTCTTAACTTAACGCTTCGATATCGCTTTGTAAAATGTTATATTTACTCCATACTGCTATATGGTGTAGAAACCTGGACCATAAAGGCCAATGTGATGAGAAATTGAATGGGCAGAGAACGAGAATTGCTGCTAATAATAAAAAGAAGAAAAACTGCTTATCTGGGTCATATATTTCGAAATTCCAAGTACCAGTCCTTAAAGCTTATTATGGAAGGGAAGATAGAAGGAAAACGGGACATCGAAAGAAAGAAATACTCATGGCTTAAAAACATAGGGGATTGGACAAACCTCGATGCCCATGCACTCTTTCGAGCCACACAAGATCGAGAGGAGTATGCCAGAATTGTCGCCAACATCCACTAATTGGATAGGGTACCTTAAGAAGAAGATAAGGGCAAGTGGCGCAGAAATTAGTACTCTTCTGAACTTATAACTAAAAATAATAAGGGGAACGATTAGAGAGGCGACTTTGATCGAAGTCTCTGTCTCCGCCCAAAATATTGAGACAGAATTTAATAAGAAAAACAGACTAAGTAATTTATTAACAAACGATTTTCTGGAGTTTAAGAGACGATATTTTCCTGAGGCTATTTTCTTGTGGTATCTTAATACTTTTTACTATTTTTACAGGGAATAAGCCATATTTTTACTTTAAAAAAATTTATTTTGACGTTTCCATTTCCACCTAGGAAATCGTTCCCAGAAACGTTTCCTAACTGAAAATTGAAAGGTAAAATTTATTTTAAAGTTCAATTGCGGCTTATTCCCAGTAAAAATAATACATTCAGAAGAGGAATATCAGGAAAGAGGCAAAAATAGCTGCTCGGACGTGGCCCAAAAATAACACACACAAAACTCAACCTGAGGGTAAAAAGAAACCTCGAGAGAATACCATAACCCACGCGCAACAAACAGCTGATAAAAAGCCTAGGAACTCTAACGAGCAGACTAGCAATGTTACAAAGCTAAGTTTTAACTCTTGGGTACTTACTTTCTTGACTGCAAAACTCCATTATCAATTAATTTTCGGGTCATAAAATAAAACATGCCATTTTCCACTAGGTCTCCGTTCCAATTTTGGCGCCTTGGACGATTTTTTAGGTCAAAGTTGAATGGAAATATCTCATCATTCATTTCTCTCCATATTAATTTATGGCTTCTGGAAATCAATTCAAATAGTTGTCAGGAAATATGGAATACGAAAGTGATAATTTTAAAGATTTTTTTGTCAATATAAGATTAAACTTCCCGTGTTCGAATCGGTATCAATAAAGTGTTATGACTCATTTCGGCCTATCATAGCCTCATCAGACACTTGGGCTGATACAAATTCAAACTCGGAAAGTAGAACGAATGTCTCCTAAAGCTTCACCACTGCAGTGGTTTGCGAGCAGAGGCGCCACCTGCTTTGACGGCCGTGAACAGTACACAATGAGACATGGTACACAATAAGACATTCTAATTTTTTTTAATGTACCGCCAAATTTCAATTCTGCAACCAAAATTATCCCAGAAATGTCATTTTACAACGCCACTCAAAATACCACCATTTCATTCGTGGCCTCGTAAAAATTACAGTGATAAACTGTTTAATTAAGGTAAGGAGTTACTTTTATATACGTTTTTTGACTTATTATTAGAACTAATTGTTGATTTGTGTCAATTTGCAAGTGTATGCGTGAAATACTACAGTTAAGTTAGTCTAACCTCAAATA